ATGCAAATGCCGCAATTAGCGCTGATGTGAGGCACTGATAGCTGGGGACTCGTACTGAGCAGTTCCTCGGAGGAACAAAGACGGCAAACATCCACTGCTGGTTTTCTTTCTTCATGCTGCCAGCACATAGTATGGATCAAGCAATAACAAGATAGAGAAGAAGGTGGTGACTTTTAGCCATATACAAAAACAGCCCAAAATTGAAAAGGATTTGTCCAAGGTTCAGAAAACAAGCAGATATCTGCAGACTATGTTTTCTTTTTAGGGTTTCCCCATTTAATACAGTAGTATTAGGAGTCTGCATATAGGATTGCAGGTCATTATTTTAATCATGTTAAATGCCTATGTGATTTTTTATCTGTGGTCAGGAATAATCTTAAAAAGACCAGACCATTTAAAACATATACTGTAAATATAATTTTGATTTAGGATTTTGTCTCTCAGTTCTATCCTTTTCAGAGAAAAATTTTTATAAAAATGGAAAATGAGAAAAAACAGATACTTGGGGTTTATTTAATCAAGTATAAAATGGAGACTGTGAAAAGTTGTTGTTTTTTCAGAAGGAAACAACTGAGTGAAAGATGGGCTAAATCAGGGGCAAAGCAGAGAGCTGAGAGGCTTCTCTAAGCCATGTTTCTGTAAAGGCTGGCAACCCGCTAAAGAGTATACAGAAAAGCAATAAGGGTCCTGCTTTTACTCCTTTTTTCTATAGCAGATGGAAGGATAATTGTCAGAAATAGGTTAGAAATCTCACAAAACTGTTGTAAAATTGTTGATAATTGTTAAGCATTTACTGTTAGTTTGGTTCTTATACTGCAAAAGGGGTTAAAAGGGTAGTTACAAGAAATACGGTACTCCACGTACTGTATTACACCGAAGTAAAGTGCATCAGGCCCCCGCCCCGCTCCAAGCAAAACGAGCCAGCCTGGACGGAACGGCCATCAAGCCAATCAAGGCCAATCAAGGGCCTTAAACCTTCACGTAAATGAAGGATCCAAACAGAAACCAATCCAAAGGGACAGAAAACAGGATAAGAAGGGGCATTTGACCCAGTGAATCCGTGTCGCTCCACCTGGGACATCGGAGACATCGCTGCTCAAGAAAGAACCCAGCGCAGGCGCTGCAGCATCCTCGACAGGACCGCTCCTGCTCGGCAGGCGGGCCCCCTTGCTTTGAGCCTTTATTTGTTTTTATAATAAATGCTGAAATCACTTTTAGTACCGCGAGTGTGGTCCCGTTTTTAACAGCAACGCTCTGCAAGGAAGTGACTAATATCAGACAGTATTTGTTCTATTTGTTCTGCCTTCTACATTCTGTTTTTTCAACACAAGACACTAAGGTGAAACACCATAAGGAAGGGACAGGGACGTGGTTCCTGTCACTGCAAGTAACTTGAACTTGTATCATGGTGAGGGAAGAAAAGTTTTCAGGGTCTGTAAGTTTAGAGAAAAGGTAGAAGAATTGCTAACAAATTAATTGTAAAGCAGGCAGATATTAAAACTCCCAGTACAGTGAAAAAAACTCTTTCCAGAAACCAGAGATGCATACAGTTTGTTGTAATTCAGAGCAGTCCTGGAAGCATAGGATAGCAAGGAGAAATTGTTCATAAACATATTTTACTTTTATTTGTAGTGTTGAATGAATGACATGGCTCTAGTTATAATGCGAAAAGCTTAAGCAACCAAGTACTTTTTCCATACAATACCTTTTTGTCCTCTGGCCCTCAGTGTTAAATGCTCTTGTGCATGTTTAACCCCAAGTTCAAAAAGAGACCAGAGAACTTTACAGGAAAAATCACTGAGTATCATCAAACACAGCCATGAAAGGGGCTCAGGACGTGCTTAGGAGGCTGGCAAGCACAGGGAGAAGCTAAAAGCAAGAAAAATCACTCTACACCTGCCCTGTCTTCACATCCTTTCTCTAGGCACTCCTGGCTACTCTGAACAAAGACACTGAGCTGGAGGTACTTGTGATCAGAATCATGCACAGCTGTCTTTACTCATTCCTATGTATTGGTAGGAGTCATTCTTGTACAATGTTTGGATGAAGAATATTACATACCTGTGCAATACACTGAAATTTTTCAGTCATGCCATAGTACAAACTGAAGTGTGGACCAGCTTTGCTACAGTAGTTAAAGTTTTTCAGGTTAAATTTAAAGAACTTGTTTGAATTTAAATGCCTAAAGGCTAATCATAATTATTGATAGTGCTAAACATAGCCTTGACAACCTCATACAATAATTTCAACAGTGTCCTGACTTAGGTTACAGATAAGTTACATATGGTTTAGCTCTTAAGTTTTTACTTAGATATGGATTGTATGAGTTAAATTTATTATCAGATGAATTAAAGTGTTCTAAAATAATGTAGCTTCTAGAAAAAATAAGCTCCCAAATTCCACTAGTGAAAATTAAATAATTAATGTTGAAAAGAATATTTCAGTTTTCATCCAAATAAAGGGGGGGGGGGAGAAGTAATTTTATTGGTAAATTATACATGCAGAAATTAATTTTGGTTTTTTTTAATAGAGGTTACTTGTGTTGCACTACTTCTTAGAGTTGGGGGGGAATATAAGGAAAATCATTCAGCAAATTATTCACTACATTTTGAAGGATTTTATTGTACTAGTGAAAATATAGATTGTGTTTTGATTATGGATACTCTAGTGGTTTCAGTGCAAATTTTACAACAGTGTATGGTTTTTTTAAAAAAAGTTAGATGTTCATCAGAACATTATGATGCATCCTCTTAAAGAGCAGCAAAGGAAACATCCAAAGTTTAACCGGATATAGAATGACCCCTTCAGCTTTAAAGCCCGCTGTGAAATGTATGCGGCACTCTCTTCAGTATGAAGTAGGAAACTCAGAAAACAGATATTCAAATCCTCTTTGGTTACCCAGCATCTTTTTCTTAGGCAAGCTTGCTGTCTAAAAATTGGGACCTTCTCTTGTTTTTAATCTAATAGCTTGAATATCTCTTTCATATTCTCCTTTTTATATTTATGAATCTCCTAAGAGTAGTAAGCTGCTTTAACTTTACAGAAAGAGTCAATATTTTTCACAAGAAAAGATCCCAAAATTGCAGAAGAGTTATGAGAAATGCTACAAAAATTCAAATGCTATATGATACCCTTGCTATCCACTTTTAGGTCTACTTCTAGGAAGACTAAATCTAACCTGACTTTTAAAGCATGTAGTCCTGTACTTAGGAGTATTAAATTTCAAGATGCAACTTCTACTATCTGTAATCAGACTGGTAATTTTTCAGGACATTTTTTTGTAGAATTCTCACCCACTGCAGCCTTCAGAACCCAAGCCAGAAGCTCTTCCTGAATTACTCTGATTTACTAAATTAATTGATTTTTCAATGTCCCAATTAAAGAGAAAAAATGAAACAAAAAAAAAAAAAGGTGTATTAAAGTGGCAAGTACTACATGGTGCAGCAGAATATAAAATCTGTTTCTTCTTCTGCTACTTAGTGCATTTAACAAATAAATCTACTGAGCAATAACCATTCTAATAGCAGTATTGATAAAACAAGCTAAGACAATAATTTCCTACTCCACTTCCTCCACTCCTTTTGAAGTTTGTGTACTGGCAGCAGAAAATAAATTACTTTTTCCTCTGTTTTAAGCAACAGATCTCCGGTTTTAGAAGCTAATACCTAGATAAGGAAAATAGGACACAACCCTGCCCCAAACCCAGTACAAAAAGCTTGGAATAGCCTCACTTGTTTCCACACTTAGGGTCAAATCTGAATACATTACACCAAAGTAAATACTATGTATTATTTTCCCCTAATCGTTGGGGCCCATTTTCAAAGTCTCAGCCATTTCAAATAAGATCTGATAAAGTATCGTACAGCATGCCTTTCACTTACTTAAGTGTGCATTAGCTGCACGAAAGCCCAGGCATATGCTTACCTTTAGATAATATTACAACCCCACCAGATTTAACAAAACCTCTTCTATAGGTAACATAAACTTATCTACGTGATCAGGGCTTTGTTATTGCTATTACCTAAACCAGCTCTGGGTCCCATGTAAACCCAGTGTAGCAGTCTACTGGAAAATGCAAACACTTGGTAAACTGATTAAAAAATTTAATCATTAGAAGTCATAAAATTTGATTGGAAAAACCATCTTACATGTTAAATACACTCCATCAGTTTTACTTTCTACTTCAATTTTTCATCCTTAACAAGGATCACTTGTCTTTGCTATAAGAGTAACCAAAACAAATAAAAACAAAACAAACCCAAATTAAAAATAAACCACATTAAATAAAACTCCAAAAACTCAAACAAACAAACAAACCAACCAACCATAAATTAAACATCTTATTAACCTAGCCCAGTCAGAGGTTGAGTTAATTTTGGTGAGATGTCCACAAGATTCTACTCTCCCTGGAACTTTCTAAAATCAGTATCTGTTCTATACATTTGATTCTAGTGGTAAACAGCCATTTAAAACTAATTTCCAAATCCCATCTTATTCCTGTAGAATCAGGAGGGGTTCTAGAGAGGTTTCCTTCTAGAAAGGCCTTGGGCCACTGGTAATCAGAAAGAAAGCTGGAATTCAGCCCGGGGGGGGGTCACAGGATGGAGACCGAGCTTTTGCCTCAAAGTGTGTGAAAGCCTCTTCAACAACACACCATTCTCAAAACCTCCACAAGGGAAGCACAAGGTCGTCAGAAACACAAGCAGACAGGAACTGCTGCTGCTGGGCCATGCACTCAACAGCAACTTCCTGTGCCACAATACCGCAAAATAATAGTCGCAACTTAATTCGCTCCCCCCCGGAAAAAAAACCAGAAAAGCCACAGCATTCTCGATCCTTGGTCTTCTAAAACTCAGTCACGAAGGGACCGGCGCCATGTGACGGGGGGTGGGGCGGCACGACGAGTGCGAAGAGCGGAGGGAGGGTGTGGCCTCGTCTGTGCCATCCCCCCAATGGGGCTATTTAAGGAGAACGGAATTCCCATCTCGTCCGGCTTTTTTCGGGAATTCAGCTTCGCGAACGAGGAATACTGACGGCCTGCGCTTAGTTTTCTCAAAAAAGTTTATACGGGTTTTGCTTGAAAGTCCTTATTTTTTTTTAAGTGTGTGAGCGCAGCCTCGGCTCCAGTGAGTGATGGTGAGTGAATGCCGAAGGGGAGGCACGCTGGGGCGGTGGGATAGGGGGTGTTTGAACGCCGAGCCGACGGGCGGGCTTCTGCTGGGGTACGTAGTGCCTTGAGGGGGAACCCAGCGGGCAGCGGAGCGGAGAGTGGAGCAGTAACTTTTTCGGCTTATTCTTGGGGTGAGAAACGGGAATGCCCTCAGCTGGAGCACTGTTCGCTTGTAACGCGGTGGCGGGGCTGAACCCCTGAGGGCTACTACCATTATAACTATCTTGAAGGCTTTAGCACCTTACGAGGTGAGCGGTTAAGGTGGAGGGAGTACCGCTATTAAAAGGCCGGGGGCTTCTGCAGGGGAACATCTGGCTCGTACCTGTCGGCGATACGGGGTGCGTGTGTGGGTGCTTGGCGTCGGAACACGCTTCACACCCTCGAGCGGCCATTTTGTGACGGCGCTAAAGTAGCGCCGTCCCGCACGGCTGGGCGGGTGCTCCGCCACCTGCCCGTGGCGGTGCACCCGCTGCGCGTAGGCTCCGGCAGGGCCCTTTGTCTGGGGCTTGGGAATAGCTTTCCATGTCCTCAGGCGCCAAACCGTCCCGCCTACGCCCCGTCGGCGCTGAGCTGCCGAAGTGTGACGTAAAATGGCGGCGGCACCACGAGCGGCGCCTCGCCTGCCCGAGGTCCTACGTCCCTCCCTGCTGGAGCAAAGGCCCGGCGTCGCCCGGAGTGCCGCGGGCTCTTCGGCCCGCACCGGCATGCTGCTTGCTGTTTGTTCTTTCTATGTGAGGAACTTGCTTTGCGACTGTAGCGCTGACGCTTCAGACACTATACGAGTAAGGTGGTGGGGCTGTTTTTGTTTTTTTTTTGTTTTTTTTTAATTTTTTATACAGGAGAGGTTGTGCCTAGCGTGCAGTGCTGGGCCGAGGGCTCCGCTTAGTGCCTAGCGGGAGGGCTGCGGCTCCAGCCGCGTTCTTCCCTCAGACGCCCGCGCTGTCATGGAGACTGCTCAGTGTCCGCGCAGCGGGACGTGGGTCACGGGGTTTAAATGCTTCAATTAAAAAAAAAACCCAACAAAAAACTACTGCTTACTTTAAACAGAGATTGTGCTGAGGGCAGGGAGAAGCCTGAAAAATCAGAGGCTTGTGTGGCCAAAAAAAGTGAACGTTTTTCTCTCCTGGATGAGCATGAAATTGAGTTATGTTTGTAACACACGTGGGTGGGTAGGTAGGTATTTCCTCCACGTAGCCCAACAAACGTCCTTTTTCCACCTTTTCTTTTGCCAAAATTCCTAACTAGGCTCCCGACTACTGTTGCACCAGTTTTCCCTCATCAATTTAAGCTTTATGAATTTAAACTTAAATAATTAAGATCAAACAGATTAATTTGAGCTTTTGATGAGAGAAGCAAAAAAAACACCTGTTCATTCTGATAAGCTGAAAAACTGAATAAACCCCAATATTCGTGGCATCTGGAAGTTTGATATCAGAGCTACTTCATGAGATAGACAAAGTAGACTGCTTTTAGAGTACTTCTACAGGGGTGAGTCACTTCAGCTGATGCTGTAGTTCCAGTATCATAGGCAGTGTTTCCCACTTCAGAACTTGAGGTGGTTTAGGCTTTGGACACTTGATTCAGCAGCAGTGTGAGGTCTTTGTGCATCGTTTATGTAGAACAGTCATTTGTGTAGTGCTGTGTTGACAAAATTACTTGGGTTTAGATAAGATAGTAATTTTTTTGCATTGGCAAGTGTTTTCCATCGTCGTACTGGGGAGTGGAAAAGTGGCTTCGGAGGGAGATTTACTTTTTGTTCTAGGAGAATTTTACCACTGTGCATTTTTGATCCCCTGTTCAAGTTCTAGGAAATGCCTGTATTAATAAATCTTATTTTTCATGTTGCCCAGCTTGCTAGAATGCCTAAGTAGTCTGTTTATTCTTTCTTTCAGGTACATAATGTGTGAGAGTGTTAAATAAATTATTTTCTTTGAAATTCTGCATCTTAGACACAAGCACTGCACTTCCATGGTGGCCAAGTCCGTGAATGAGATGTTTGCAAACATCTGTGGTTACCAGCAGTGTCTGTGGTTAGCAGCTTCCTTCAGCTGGTTCTGGCACTTGCTGGGCTCCAGCCCTGAGAGCAGTTTCCTGTTTTAGGGCTGCCAGAGAACTTGCACAGCAAAGTGAATACCACTTCTAGCTTGGTTCACTGACACATCCAGAGAGAAAGAAGTAGAAGCAGCAGTTAGGTCAGCTTGAGGATTTGCCATCTCAGATTTCAGTTCAAATGCCCTTTAGCTGGGTATGCAGCCAAACAAAAGCAGAATACCAGGTGGGTGAAAAACTGCTTGCTTCGTGTTAATCTTCCTGCCAGATTTTGTAGAGCCAGTTTCATTTGAACTGAGAAGTGTTAGAACCAATGAATGGTCCATTTGTGTGATTGAAATTCCTTGTCAGCTGCTATATCTTTAGGAAGGTGCAGGCATTCTGGTATGTTAAAATGTAATCTAATTGACTAAAATAAATATTTCTGTTTAATTTTTTTAGGCAGCACATGTGGAGACCCAGCGTTCAAGTGCCACGGAGGGCAGTGCCTATTCAGCAACAGTCAGTCAGGGCTATGTTTTACCAGAAGGAAAAGTCATGCCCAACACTGTCTTTGTTGGTGGGATTGACATAAGGGTATGTATACACTTTGAATTGTTTAAAGTGGGGTATAGGGTACATCAGTGGAGAATAAGTGGAAATTTTGCTCCTGTTTTAGTGTGGATTTTAAAAATTTTTGGTGCTCGTGCAAATGTGTGCATTTGCCAATCTAGAAAATACTGAAATGTCATGGGAGAATTCTGAAACATGTCTTCCAAAACTAACTTTTAGTTCTTATGGGAGTAGAAAATGGGTTTAAAAAGTGGTACTTGCCTGCTTTAAATCAGTTCTAAGCAGTTGAATGTTTTTGAAGATGTTTAAGACCTTGTTTTCTTTTAGATGAATGAAGCAGAAATTCGGAGTGTCTTTGAACAGTATGGTACTGTGAAGGAGGTGAAGGTCATCACTGACAGAACTGGTGTTTCAAAGGGGTGGGTAGAATAAGAGTTGTTGTTTTAAGTTGCTGCTTATGTGGACAGCGTTCTGTAATAGGTGATATGAGCAGATGCTTAGCAACACACTTGACATGCTTAAGCCTTAATACTAACTGCAGTCTGCTGTTATTGTGAGTTAAGACTGAAACCAGTTAATCTATACTGCCCCAAACTAAATCTGTATAATCTTACAAAGTATAGCATTCTTTTACTTCAACTTCTCTGTTCAGGGAAAAGAAGCTCACTGTCACTCAATCATTGAAAACAAAGCCTGATGTGTGATGCTTACGCAGCCAATTCTTTTGCAGGACTCTTCTGCTGGCTGGAGTAGCTAAAAATCAGGGGACAGTTCAGGATGAATAAGGGAATTAAATGGCTTATTCAGGGCAGTAACTCTGCCCTCTCCTGACACTTGTGAATAAGTTCTAGAGGCAAACAGCCCAAACTTCTTTGGGTAAAGACTGAGTATGTGAACAAAGTTGAAACAAGGAAATTCCCTTTGAATATATTGAGGAGTTCTGGATAACCATGGTGAAACCCTTAAATAAGAAGATGAAGATGAAGGACCTTACCCTGCTGGGTTCTGGGGAGGCCATCCCAGTTTTGAGGTTATCCCTCCTGATGAGAAGGAGACAGTACCCTCTTGAAGTTCCTTCCAGTGGGAATTTTTCTTACATTCTATGCTTAGCTCCTACAGTGTCATATTTTTTTCTTCAGCATATATAGCAATGGAAGAGCTGGAAATAAAATTCATTTTGTCATATCCCTTTGTAGTCTGTGAAGTGAACCCTGCTGTGCTGTTAGTGTATGTTACAAGTATTGATAATCATTTGACTTATTCCATTAATGGGACACAATTGTTACTCTAATGCTCTGAAACTACCTTAGTTATGTAGACTAGATAAACTAGGAATGCAGTGAAATAAACTGAAAAACCTCTTCAAGAATTGCTTCCCTCCCACTGGTGTTACTGTTCCTGTAATGCCTGCTTTCATCCAGACCTCTGTAGTAAATACAAAATTTAAAGATAAGTCAAATCTTAGTTAAAAATTTAACTTTCTGAGTTACTAATATTAACAGCAGTCCTCATTCTGAGTAGTTAAAATGGAAAAAATGGCCTTATTTCATGTTATTCTAAAATCTGGCGTTTAGTTTCTTGCATCTGGCCTGAATCATAAATTAATGTCCTAGTTGATAATTTTGATGTGCGATATACTGTACCTGGCACGTTGTTAACTGGTTTTGTTTCAAACATTTGGCTTATAATCAAATGACACTGATTGCTGAGTAGTCTGTTCTTCCTTTTTAGGTATGGATTTGTGTCTTTCCTGGACAATGTGGATGTTCAAAAGATAGTTGAGGTAAGCTCAGCTTTGTCCAAATGATTAAGAAGTTAAAGGTATGAAGGTTAGAGACAAGTTTGTGGAAGCCAAGTTATGTACCCTGTAGAGTAAGTTAGGACGCACAAAGTCTAGGGCTGCCCGAAAGGTAAACTTCCCTAAAATGTGTACTGGCAGTAAAATCTTTATGTATTTGCTTAAATAAGAAGCAAGATTAGTCTTCAGCATATTAGTTTTTAGCCTGGTGTGGTCAAACATCTCATGTAATTTTGTTTGATTGCTCTCATTTATTTATGTGCTTGAAAGCCTTGAGGTGTTTGGCTGCTTGCTTTTGCTAGTGGATGATTGTCATAGAACTCTTTTGCTTATGGCAGAAATGTAGACATTTAGTTATTAGGATGTCTTGGTTTAAGATAATTAAAGTGGGACACTTTAAAATGAGTCCTCTCTCCTTTAGGTTAACCAATCCCTTTCCACGAATAAGTAGAAACAAATATGGATAGATATAAGTGAAAAAATAACAGTTTACTAATAAAGAAGGAAATAGCAACAGGCAAAAAAATAACAGTAATAGTCACTAGTTACAAAGTTGCTGGAATCTCCTGGATTCCCAGGGAACAAAGAGGAACTTGAAATGGTGGGGTGACACCTCCCCAAAATAGTGGCGTCTGCCACTGACCAACCTTGTAGTTCCAAAGACAAGGGGAAAATGGTGACAGCCTCCCCCTTCTTACCTCTTCATGGATGAATGCAGCTGGCACTCTTCAGCAGCTGGTACCTGGTCAGGGCTAGAACTCAGGAGGAATTTGCCTTCCTTGGCAGCTGCCAGCCAGGCAAGGCCAGCTGGGCTGGGGTGGCTGTGCCTTCACTTCTGCAGGGCTGCTCCATGCTGGTGCAGACAGGCAGTGGTGGGATTCACCTTGAGCCTGTCCAGGATGCAAGAGAGAAAAGAGGGGGAAAAAACCTCAGAGCAGAGTCTCTGCCTTAAGCAAAGACCATGATGCAAGAGAGAGTGCTGTCTCTGCTTTGAACTTTCAAAAGTCTGGGGCACTTGCCCCACTGCCCCATGGTTGTGTTTGCTGGCTCCAAGGTCTTCAGAGACAGAAACAATTTTGGGCACAGACAGATAAAATACAATAACATTTTGCGTTACCTAGGGCATAGGAGTAACAGTACCATGGAAGACAGGATTAATTTTTTTATTTATGTCTCAGTAGTTGAAATATGTTTCTCTAGCAGTATTTTGTGCATTTGGATGCTACCTGGGGTGCAAGTATTGTTTAAGCCTCCTAGATTGTGCTGTGGCTGTTCATGTGTGTAGTGGGTCTAGGTACTGGCCAAACAACACTGCATCCACTAGAATCATTTACTCATTTTTTGCTGTGAGATAAAGATTAGGAGGAGAGCAAAGCAGGCTTAAAACTTTAAAGGGTATAAAGAAAACTTTATTAACAGGACTAAGAGAAAAATAATAAGAAATCTGAACACTTTGGAACACTTTTCCTACTCCCAAGTCTTCTGTCTTTTCCTACTGACAATGTAAAAAGACAAATGTGGTATTTTCAGTCAGTTTACCACTTTTAAAATAATCTTTTCTTCAGCTCATTTAGGGAGAGGAGCCTCTCCTGCCATGTGAAGGAGACCAGGCCTGCAGGCGGTCATGTGATCTCTGCTGGGCAGCGGCCGCTCTGGCTTCCCGGCCCCTGCTGCAGTCAGTTCCAGCTGCAGGGCTGCCTCTGTCCTTAGAGTGTGATTTTCCCACAGTGCCAGCAATGGCTCAGCAGCTCACAGCCACAGGCTCGGTGGTGGCACAATCTCCACCAACCTGGCTGTGAGGTGGAGCAGGGCCTGGCCCAGCCAGTGTTCAAAGGCTGGAAGCAAGAGAGTTTATCCTGGGCTTTGTTCATTTTCAAGTGTGATTTTGCAGAGATGTGTTCAGCTTTTTTTAAGTCATTTAATAGGGTGTCAGTATTGAAAACGAGCCAGCTGGTTGGTTTTGTCAGGTCTGAAGAAAGGTCCTGCCAAGGCCGTTACACGGAATCACTTTAAGAAGAAATCCGCCAGCTACCTAACTAAAAACCAAATGATGTTAAACCACGACCCTGTCACCATATAGTTTTTGTGTAGCTAACACAGGAGATGAAGGGGTAGAACTGTTACAGACCTTCTGATCTTGGGAGTTTGGTGTCAGAGAGAGAAATTTTAGATCTCGGCGCTTATAACCAGATCAGTTACTTGGTTCTGATAGACTTGGGCAGGTCACAAACCACTGACAAAGCTTTTTTTCCCTCTTTCTCCCCAGCCTGAATACAGTAACTGTGAAAATAACATGTATTGAAATCCTTGCCTCTTTCAAGTATTTGCCTCAGAAAACTCCTGTGTCTCTGGAGGATGAACAGTCTCTCATTTGCTTCTGAAGCCCTTAGGGAAGTAGATCAGAAAGACAAATCCAGATAGATGTGCCAGGCACAAATGTAATGTTCTGTGATGTGCAGATGTGTTTACTGGCCATCCAGCTCTGTAAGTGGGAAGAGAACATGTTTGAATAAAGTGGAGAGTAGTGAAACCCTAGCAGGAGATCCTTGATACTCACCAAAAGATTTTTAAAAGCTTACTGTTACTTGATGTGGTATGATGACAAAAATACGCAGTGACTGCTGTACTGAGAAACAGACTTCATCTGAGAACACCTTTTTCTTTTAACTATGTATTACATTTATTATACTGCATCAGTGTGGCACGCTTGCTCTGAGGTAACAATTTCTGTGGAGACCTCTTGAGTAGCATTGACATTTGAGTCATGCAGAGTACTGATTTTCTGTGTATGCTTCAAAACTGGAGCCTGCAGTGTTCCTCTGTTAATATAGTACTTACTGATCTGAGTTTGTGTACCAGAGGTCTTGGAAGACCCAGAGGCATATTGTGGGTTTTCTTTTCAGTGCACATTTCAGGTCTGCAGGCAGTACAAATACTTGCAATCTCAGGAAGAAGCATGTTCAGATAGAGCATGTTGTCTTTTGGAGGGGATTGAAGAAAGGAAGACATTAACATGGGTGTTGTAGAGCTCAAATTATGTGCAAAGGTTACTGCACTAAATCACTCGAGGCCCTATCTGCACTGAGTGGTCACAGTGTTTACTGTAAATAAGCATGATAGAGCCTCTCTAACTAAAATTACTCTCACTGCCTGTGTGCGTCTGCCTGTTCAGTAAGGCCTTGTAGCCTTGTTCAGCCTGACAGCATTTTTCTTCTGCTTTGGGTATGTAACTGCACTCTGGTCCAGCATGAATCTTGTTCGCAGTGCAGATTGGAAAGTTGTCTTTCATTTAGAGGGGAGGCCTGTCTCCTAGGACCTCCCATTGTTGAGGTGGAAAAGGTAGGTGCATGATTTTGGGTGCAGCAGGATTCCAGAATTAATTTTAAAATGCTCAAAATCAACCAAGACACTATCCCCTGGAAAAAATAAAAACCAAACAAGTCCACCTGTCAAACTAGTCAGGTTATTGCACCTTTTTTCACTCCCATATATCTGTTGAATAATCTTCTCATACTAATAGAAACTAGAATGAGCAAGTTTTTTTGTAATCATGATATTCTTATTTTGCAGGCAATAATACAGTTGCTATTGCCTGTTCAAAGCACTTCCCTTTAGCAGAAATTGGAGAAAATTGCAAAACCATGTATTTTCTTGTGAAGCAGGCACTTCTGTAGAGTTGCATGTGATAGAGAATCTAGACAGACTGTCTGCATCCAATACTGACTTTAATGCTTGGTACTAGAATTGTGCTAATAGGGCTAAACCAAAAATCTTACACCAGAGAGCTGAGACTGTGCTCACTTTGCAATAGTACTGTCACTGAGTCAGGAATAGTTAAAACCCGTGTGTGTAAAGCAGCAAGGCTGACGGTCACTGATACATAGTTGCAAAGTCGAGTAGTGCATGTTACTATTGGGGCCAGTGATACATAATTTTGGAGGGTTGGTGAGTAGGCTGCTGAGTTGAGGGCACTGCAGGAAATCTGAGGTAAAAGGCATATGGTGGAGAGAGAGGAGACTGAAGGCTGTGGAGCCTTTATGAGAGTTGCTGTACTGTGATGTAGAAGCAGAGTCCAGTCTCTCTAAAATCCTACGAACTTCTCACCTTGCTGATTCCCAGCTTACAGAGAATAACCTGTCTTTCAGTCACAAATCAACTTCCACGGTAAAAAGCTGAAACTGGGGCCAGCAATCAGAAAACAACAAAATTTCAGTAAGTATATCTAAGTAGATTTTTTCATATTGCAGGTATTATAATATAAAGGGGGTTTTTTCTTAATTATACATCATTATCTTTGCAAATACTTTTTATCTGATGCAGTATATATATTTCAGTTGCACCTGGGTTCTGACTTCTGTGACCTCACTTGTATGATGTTGTTTTAATAAGAGTGAGGTTGGTAGCACAATACAATACAGTTAATATTGAGGCAAATTTGTGACTCAACCCTTACGGTTTTTTCCAGCTTGAATTCAGATTGCTAATGAAATAGATGTGGTAATGTCTTAATACTATTTTTTCTGTTTCAAAACAAGATTCCTGTGTGCAGCCCAGACAAATAGTTCTTGGTCCTCCTCCACCACAGTTCCAGAGCGTGTGGGGCAATCAGAGTATGGAGACGTATGTGCAGCCTCCAGCTGTCATGAACCCAGTAACATCCTATGTTCAGGTAGGACTGCTCCTGACACTGGTTTTGAATCATTAAATATTTTTGAAGGTGCAAGCACGTACGACTTTTGGAGTATGTATTGAGTTTCCAATCTGATTTTACCTGCCTGTTATCATATAGCTTTCCCCAGTAAGAAGCACCCAACTTGAAACCATTTCAAAGGAATGCCAGCAACCTTGAAAATTTGATTCAGTGATGTTAACTCATTCTAAAACAAAAAGGAGATACCCTTTGAGAATGAGAGCTGTTGAAAGTGGAGGGAAGATTGAGTTGTTACTGCCTATCACAGATGCCGTTCACAAATGAAATGTATCCAGATATTTAATGTGTTTCTGTCCTGCTTCAGAATAAACTACGAAATATGAAATGTGTTTTTGTAGACTGAGAGTGGGATAAGAAGTTATCTCAGGTACTTTTCTCCTAGCCAAACACATCCTTGGTTTTAAAATGCTGTTGTGTTACAAGAGCACTGTGTTCCAGCATCTGCTGTTAATAGCTGTGCCCAGCACAGTATTGCAGATGAGCATTCCTTCTGAGGTGTGGGCACAGTGCTTCTGGCCTGGATATGAGTCCTGTGCTGTGGGAGTGAACCAGATCAGGCTCTCTTACTGCATTACTGTATGATGGGGCAGTACTGACTACAGTCTGACCCTGTCTTGTATATCTTAAGCAAGGAGGAAGAACAAACTTGCAGAAATACTGTCTTGCAGGCAAAGAGCTTGATAATAGTATTCTTGCTGATTCTCTTTAGTTTATTAATTTAAGAGCATTCATTCTCTTAAAGGCTGGAATTTGCCTTTAACTTTTCCCTGAAGAATCTGGGAAAGTTCCATGTTCACAGTGTCAGAATACTTTCAGGAAAGAAATACTAGGAAATTGTCTTAATGTGAGTACTAAGCTTCCTTTTCCTCCTAGAAACTGATCCTTCAGATTGTACTCCGTTATTTCATGGATGTCAGTCTGCTTCAGATCTACCCCTCAAAGTTTATGGCATGACTTGCACTTCTGAAATTACATAAAAGATCAGTTACAAGCAGAAATGGGGTTTTTAGATATATAAGAGTTGGAATCTCACTTTATAGATGTTATTAGTGCCTGAAGTACTGAAGCAAGCCCTGTGGGAAGTCTAAAGGTTGCTTTTAAATAGTGAGTCTAGTCTGCACAGGAATTGAAATAACAGTGTAACTTGTAAAAATGTGCTCCTGGCTAATACCTCTACAAATATCATACTTGTATCTTGCTTCAAACTTGCAGGGGTTTTTTTAAAAAAAAGCTTTCTTTCCAGCCCTATCCCTACAGTTCATCACCAGCTGTACTGCTAAAGCAGCAAGTTCCCATAGGATATCAACCTGCTTACAACTATCAGGTATGTCAAGTTTTAGTAGAAGCAGAAAGGCTGTTGGATACCTGACTAAGCTGGAATGAAGTGTTAACTGGAGTCTGATCTCTGTGCTTCTCATTCTTTGGAATCTATCTTTCTTCACTTCTTCACAGCTACTAAAGCAAAAACAAAATAGTGATGAAAACTGTTGAGTAAATTAGCATACTCTTTTCTTTTTATAGTTTCATTACTATTTTCTTAAATATACTGGGATAAAACAACTTTGAAATTAGAAGAAAGTGTGTGAATTAGTAGTACTTGTGGGAGGGAGTTTTGCATTTGTACATGCTGTAGTGTAGGATGTTAGGTACTTGGAATCAGTCTTATCAGATGATACCATGTTAGCTGTATATGGGGAGGATGTGCTCTTGCACTATGAAAATGTCAGAAGGTGCTTAGCTGATAGTGGGGTTTGAACTCACAAGTGAAGTGCGTGGCTAAGTCCTGTTACTGATGCTAAACTGGGAGTAACTGGAAGCAGCTAAAGGCTTGAGATCTGTTTTCAATGTAGGTATTTGGTTTCCTATTTTCCTAATATTTAGGAATATTTTAAAATTTTCTTTAACTTGAAGTGAGAAGGTGATAGTTGAATAAAGAAAGGTATCTTGCTGGTTGTAAGACTATATTAATTAATTGTTTTGTGAAAAATCTAGATATAAAATGCTATAAACAGTGGCTCCTACAGAGCAGTTACTTGTCTGTGTTGGCCATAAATGAGTAAAAGGTGTTTCTTGTCCAATTTTTGTTTAAGGCTCAACCACAGTGGCTTGCTGGGGAGCCAAGAAATTATGTAATACCTCCAACTCCGGTAAGTCTACAAAGTTAGACTTCTGAAATTGTCTTCTTAATTAGCACATTGTTTTTACAGCTTGATACTTCACAAAAAAGTCTGTTGTCTGGATCTGTATAATCTGGTCTGCAAATTTGTAATTGCTGATAAGATTGTATGTTGTCGTTCAGAATTTCTACTGATGTAGTGCTTTTTTGAGTTACCTGGTGGAAGAGACCTGCCTGGTTTTGGCACTAGAACTACATGTTCTAGTTACAGAACTCTGGAATTCTAAGTAAAATAGAGTTGGTTTTTCAGGAAAAGTTAAAGTAAGTTGACCTGATGTACAATTTTTTTTTTAAGTTTAAAAAGCCTCCGTGTTCTTTGCAAATACTGATGAATTTTTGGGCTCCTTCCAATAGGCTTTAAAATTTTTCTCAGGCTACTACAAACTGTAGATGGTGCTGCTGGCCTCTGTAAAAAATTCCTTGTGTTCTGTGACTTAATGCAAGTAACACCTGTGAGAAGGGGGGGAAAAATACTCTATTTGTTTACAATGTCAGAATTTAAACTTGTCCTCTGGGTATTTTTGTGTATTTAGGTGTATTTATTGACTACAGTTTTGATTAAGTGTTTAAAAGCTGTAGTAAGTAATTTTCTCGTGAGTGGTGTTCTCTTCCTGAAAGCTGCCAGAAGTCATTGAAATATTGATTGCACTATTGGCTTGAAATAGTTGTTTTAATAACATCCATGAATATGGATACATTATACAGCCATAATGTATCACTTCACAATTCAATGGTAGCAAGCCAAAATGTTTTTAGAGTAGGTGTGCATGGGGGTTTCATTGTTAAGTGTTACAAGTTTGATTGTAGGAGCAGACAAGTGTTCTAGAACTGTCTCAGCTAAACAACTTTAAGTATCATTCTTAACTGTCATAGTAAAACGGGTCATGGCACAGTATTTCTCTACTCCTTAAACTTACCAAAACTGCAAAGATGAACTTGGCACATTTTATGGATAGATGAGGATCAGTGACACCGTAAGTGTGCATGTTATTCCAGTGTTACTGAAACATTCTAATACTTTAAAACACTGTAGGTGTATACTTCAGTGAACTATCATGGCTCTGAGGATCCAGGATTTATACAGATGGAATGTGCTGTTCCAGAGCCCACGCAGTTGCCTAACAGCCCACAAAAGGTAAGTGCTTTCTCAAAACTTTATATTATCATAATTGCCATTCCCAGAAATTTGCACGTAAGGGTTATGTAGCTTTGGCTGGGGCCTTGGACAGATATCCTAGAAGTCAGGGTTATAGTTGCTCCTTTCAGCCTCTTGTTAAGTCCCATGTATCTGATTTCTGTGTACAACTTCAGAAGTCTCACATTTCCTTGAAACTGTTAGTGCTTGTTTGCAGTGCTGAGGGCTGGAGAAAGTGTATGTACTACCTGATTAAGTCTACTGACAGGACTTTGCCTAATCTGTGGAAATTCCATGGAAAATTAGAGGTACTAAAAAAGCAGATTCAATAGCACTGCCTGCTGTGTTAGGTAGATTTATTTTAAGCTTCAAATACCTGAGTTGGTAACTTTCACCCTTTCTTACTGTTTTGTTGAAGGTGGCCCCAATTTAGTTAACAATTTGCTCTGAATTCAGTTTTCTAAGGGAGAAATTTCATTTCTCTGCTGTCAGCCTCATCCACAAGAGAACTGGCATGTCACTGATTAGAATTGTTATGCTGTAATGCTGAAGGGGGATAATGAGTTAGTAATTTTAGAAGATTGGGAGGGACAAAAAAATTACAAGTATCTCAGGAAACACAAGGCAGTTGAGGAATCCTGATTTCCAAGTAAACCCTGTGACACCCTGGCATTGCTAGCTAGTAATGGCCTAACTAAGAAAATAACCTATAACTATATATGCACCTCTTGCTGTATTTCAGAAGTCTGTGGACAGGGGCATGCAAACAGTACTATCCTGTCTGTCTAGTCCTGAGAACCAGCTGACAAATGACTTTGTATCACAAGACAGCAATGCAAAGGTATGTAGTGAAAGTAAAATTATATCCCTGAAACATAGGTGCCCTTCAGTGTGTTCGCCTACAGGATACCATAAAGATGAAGCAATTTACATCTGTGGATGCCGCTTGAATTTTTTCTTCCTTGTACACGCTCTGAGATGTGTGCTTAATGATGGGAAGAAGTTCTGAAATTGGATTCAGTGGGTTTAATCAGGACAGCATAAAAATTGCTGAGCAGTCAACTAATGAACTATTAGAGCATAAGTCTGGCTAGTCATTTCTCAGTGACATGGCTGAAAGCAGTAGATTACTCCCTAGCTTGGACAGAGGATGTTGAATTTATACCTTGATAGTCTGTACAGTGAAATAGCTACTGTGGGTGGTGCCTAGTTATGCTTTGTCTCTGCTTTAACTAATAAATCATAGTCCAGGTTGGTAAGCTGGTTCTTTTTTTTGCTCTATGTATTCCATCTTTGTAGCTTTGCAGTTTCTGATTACATTCCAAGTCATGTGTGATTTCAGGTTATTAATTTCTGCTTCCTTTTTGTAAAATAACAGATATGTGAACTAGACAGGTGTACTCTGAAGTGGGAATGGAGAAACTGTGTTTTGTCAGTTTTGGAGAGGGGTGAATAGAGTACAGGGTGTCTGGAGATAGTTTTCATGAGACTTTGGTTTCTTTATTCTGATTAATTGAATTTTTTTTTCTTGTCCTCTCTTCTATCCCATCCCAGGAGGGTAAGACATACCACTTCAGAAAAGGAAAGGCAGTACACAAAGCCATTTGATCAACAAAGACTTCAAAGTATCTAAATTAACTAGATGGTACTGCAGTTCAATTTAGCTGCACAGAATGTAACATTTCTGAAAGTTACTTCAGGTTATGTTTGTACTCCTGTTCTACATGTTTTGATACTGTTGTTGTTGCTTGAGTAGTTTGAAGTTCGAAGTTGTAAGAGTTGACAAACTTCAGTGTTACTGTTTGTGTGCTTCCCCTGATAACTGACTGGAATGTTAGAGAGTTTATATGTTTCCTTTATGTGGATTTTTCTCTGAGCTTTAAGGTACAGTTTGCATATTACATGTTGTTTTTCATGGTTTTTCGTTAACTACCACTTGACTCATTGACCAGTTAACTCCTGCAGTTCAAAAATGGAAGTAGTTATTTGCCCAAGAGAACGTGTTTTAAGACTGAGCTTTTAAATCAGTGCAAAGGAAGATGAGAAGTTGTAACTGAGCTGAAGCCCTGTAAGTCCTGCTTGCCTTTAGACGACATAATCAATGTGATTATGTTCATTGATGGCAGTCTGTGTACCTGCAGTCTTGAGCATCACTATTATTTTTGGGTAAGTAATGAAGAGAATCCGAAAATTCCTGTCTGTAACTTAAAATACAAGAATGTTATCTGTATTGGACGCTCAGTCAGCCAATACAAGGTTTTTTACTTGAAAAATCTTAACAATACCTGTATTTTAAACTTCTGAGAAAATACCGCACTTATATAAACCTTTGTTATGTGATGCTAACTGTTAATCAAAGAATATGTGTATGACTGTTTTAATAATCATGTAGATTTTAGGTGTGTATTGTGAAACAGTGAAATAAATTTTTACTTTGCCTTGGTTTCCTAGATTTCTGGTGTGACCAATCTAAATAATAACTTGTTAAAGCTGTTAAAAACTTACTGCTCTATGTGAAATTTCCAGTTACTATAAATCTATAGTAACAAACCTTCATTTTGTGTAGATACGAGCTGAAGCTTCCAAAGAGTAGAACTGAGAAAAGAGAATGGTCTTTTTATATATCAGGTCCTAGCTTGCTTTTTTTCTCCTACTCGAACACCTCAGTGTCTCCAGACAATTAAAGAAAAATATTCCTCTCTTGTTAAGGATGTATATACAAGGCTGTTTAGGACTGCCTGTTCAGCTTCAAATTTCCAGAAAGTTTAGAGATACAAATGGCTAGGCAAAGACTTAGCCAGACATACATGTTAGTGAAATATGTAGAAGGGGAGTGGATGTGTGAGGGAATATGGCTAGAGTAAATGTCCAAGGACTGCTTCTCAGGAGTGCTGTGGATAAAACTTAATTAAAGGAGGGTGAGGGAGAATGATGATAAATTCTTTTGAGCCACTTTATGCAGCTTTGTGCTGATGTTCTGATAGCATAAATTAACCTGGAAAAAAAAAGCAAAGCCCATACCAGTTTCCCTACTCACTGTTTCATGTTACTGAAGATAGTATTAAGTGTTCCCATGATACTGATTTGCCATGTTTTTTTCAGACTGCTCTTTTAAATGTAGTGGCTTGATTGTGCTTAACTTGTGTGTTAGCAGCTTTTTTGCAAAGGTTTTTTTAGTATTGAATCAGGATCCTGTCCTTTCCAACTTCCAGTATCTAAACAGCCTGCATGTGGTTTCAAAGCTGTGATGTCAGTTTATTGATAAAAGGTAGATGTTTCTTTGCAAATGCAGATTTCTTTTTGCCTTGATTTATGTTGGCTTGGTTGCCCCAGACCATCCCTAGGCTTTCTGCTGTAGCCCTTGGAAAATGCAAATGGCCCTGTGCGTAGCTGTCTCATTGAAGAGTGTCACCACCAAAAGAGGAGATTGAACCAGAAGATGCCTGCATAGCGTACACATCTTCTGTCCATTTGACTGTGAGTTATGCACAGGACCATCTGGTGAGCAAGTTAATTGTGCAATGCACTTGAAATGGTACTAGATTCTTACAGGCCTGCTGAGAGGTTCTATCACAAGGGAATAGCCAAGGCCTTATGAATATAATTTAATTTTTCTACCATTAGATCATGTTGTGCTGGTTCTGCTGCCTGCTTACCTGTAGAGCAGCCCATGTGTTTTTATTGTTCTTTTGAAGTACCCTATAACATGTAACATAAAGCATAACACAAAACCAATAAGTACATCTCTTTCCTGTTGCATTCAGAAAGTTAATATTGCTGTCATTAAGGGCATTTCCAAAATCAGTGCATGGTTCCCCTTGTATTCTCAAATCAAGTGGACCATGTTAACTGTAAGCTAGCAGGCTTGTCAGTCCTTGTGCATCTGCATTTGCTTGCACACTGTATGTACATTCTGTGAGAGACTCAAAAGCTTTGGGTGTACTTGAAATATTAAGACAGCTCTTTGTCACAAGAAACAATTGCTTAGACAAGATAGAAAAATACAATGCTTACATTTAATTGCTATTCTAGAGCTATGACACTTGGTTTGTTTTACTTCCTGCCTGAAGTACCCCAGTTTGCTGTTTGATGGCCTTTTCATATCTTTTTACACATTTTGCCACCTGACAGAATTATTCTTGGAATGAGACAGCCAGACAGATGGTATTCTTGGATCTCCATTAGAATGATTGTCTGGCACAGATGCTAATTCCCTGTCAAAATGGAAATATTTTTTCCTTTTAGGTATTTGTGTGCTAAACTATCTTAATCTGAAGGTGATGTGATTCTTTATTGCTATAAAGAAACAAAAGTGTTTTCTATTTTGTATTTCACAGGGTTTTCTTTTGTATGCCTTACTGAAAGAGATTTTAGTCCTCTAACAAATCTACACTCTATATTCCTTCTAGGAATTAGTTTCTAGAATTAGTTTCTAGTATTTTAGAAGAGATAAAAACTTTAAGAGCTTTAAAGTCTGCCACTTCTAATATTGCTGGGAAAGTTAAAAAAAAGTGATTCCAAGCTACTAAAACATTGAGGTTTCTTCAGGTAGACTACGATCTTAAAAATCACTTAACTAGCTTTACAGCTCAGATTCTTCCTTCCTGCTTTGTTTCTGCCCCAAAATTTGGGCTGAAGCTTGGGAGACAAACTCATACTGTAAGTTCTTTTAAAGAAAAAGGCCCCAGCTGAGTTTAAAAGGGCCTCTGTATTGTCCCAGTGACTGTTCAAGCTTCAACTTAAGGGCTTGTTTGTTTGTGGGGATTTTGTATTATGTGGGGGTTTCTGTTTTGTTTTGGGTATTTGGGCGTTTCTTTTTTCTGAGTAGTGTGAACTTGTGTAGTGGGTGCTCAAGACAAGCATGAAAAGGGTTTCCTACTCCTTCACCTTAAGGTTGGAGACTGTAGAAAATATAGAAATGAGGGCAGGATTTATATTTAAAAATGTTGCTGTAGAATATTGATGCTGCTAGTCCAAAAATCAATTACTGTATGGATATTTAAAACCAGAAAAAACTATCTCAAAATTTCTAAATATGTAGTCAAATAAAGGTGTGTGCTGTACTTAATATGTTGCTGATGTAGTGGGATATTAGAAGTACTGCTTATAAGACAGTACTGATGTGTCAGCAGTACTTCTCTTCTTGGGATGTGTGTATCATGCCCTTTAAGCTTCTGTTCACCTTTTCCTGTAAGTAGGTGTCCACATTTCAGGCTATTGTTTAAACTACTTGGTGTTTATACTAGATGACCTTGAAAGATCCTTTCCAACCCAAACTGCTCTATGATCCTGTCAAGGAGTCCGCTTTCCCCTATCCCATCCAGGATCACTCTGGATTTAATCTTTGTTGGCTGTCTTGAATTTAAAAGAATGTTTTGCTGTGTGATGCTCTTTTTTTGTCTGGAACAAACCTAACCAAATCTCTTTTCCCCCATTATTTTTGTTCCTCTATGAAAGACTCTTTAGTGAACTTCTAAACTTGTTGTTAAGTCTTTCTAGAACAATTTAGGATTAAACTCACCAATTTAAATAGAGGTGGTCTCTTTTCCTGGGAAAGAATTTGTGCTTAGAACTGCAAATTAATTTGTGGATCATTTCATGGGATGGCTTGGGTTGGACAGGATGCCTAAAGGTCATCTAGTGAACCCTCCTGCAATGAGCCAACTAGGTCAAGTAATTCAGAGCCCTCTCCACTCTCACCATAAATGTTTCCAGGGATGGGACATGACCACTCCTGGACAACCTGGTCTGGTGTCTCACAGATGTCATGGAAGACAATATCTTCATTCTGTCCGATATAAATCTACCATCCTAGTTTAAAGCCATTATTCCTTCTATCACAACTTGCCCTACTAAAATGTCTCAGTCTTTCTTACAGGTTCCCTTTAGTGTTGGAAGGCCCCAGTAATGTCTCTGTGGAGCACGCTCTGCCTGTTTTCATAGGAGAGCTGCTCCATCCCTCTGACCATCTTCATGGCCCTTCTCTGGACCTGCTCCAACAGGTCCATGTCTTTCCTGTGGTCAGTACTCCAGGTGCAGTTTCACCAGAGGGGCAGAATTACTTCCCTTGGGAGGAAAGGGGACAAACAACCCAGTGTTTTGGCCTGTAGCAGTTCATAGTGTCATGCTGATGAGTTGTGCAGCCATTCAATTCTTAGCATAAGCTGATTTTATTATTCTTGAGTGTAAGGAAGCAGTTAAATTTTTAAAATGGGTTTTGTGGGTCCTGTATATCACAATAAAATAGTGTTGTCTTCTATAAGATGTGTAAAGAGGATCCTACATACATGTGGTAAAGTAACTATGTGGAAATGTGTTCTGAGCACAAACACTTCCATTTCTAGCTTTTAGGAGGACAGTGAGGCAGGGAGTAGAATATGAATTGGTCAGAGGCCATGCATGAAATCAGAATCATTTAGATTGGAAAGGATGTTTGAGATCATTGAGTTCAGTCTGTTAACACTGCTGAGCTGAACAAGTCTCCCCAAGTGCCACACCTTCTCAGTATCTCTAGGAATAGTGACTGCACTACTTTTTTGGGCAGCCTGCTCCAACACTTGACAGCTCTTTTTTGTGAAGAAATTTTTACTGAACATTAAAGGTGAACCTCCCTTGGCAAAATCTGAGGCCCATTTCTTGTCCTGTAACCTGTTACTTGGGAGAAGAGGCGGACCCCCAACCTCCTGTGCTGAGTGACAAGGTCTGCTCCAAGCCCCATCTCCCTCAGCTGTTCTTCATCACACTGGTGCTTCAGACTCCTCACCAACTTTGTTGGCCTTCTCTGGACATGCTCTGGTGTCTCATTTTTCCTCCAGTGAGGGGTCCAAAAGAACACAGTATTCAAGATGTGGCCTTACTGGAGGAGGGAGTTACAATTGCTTCCTGGGAAGAGAGTACAGGGAGACAATTGCTTCCTGGATCTGGCTGTCATATTTTGTGACACAAGACAGGTTGCAGTTTGCCACCTGGGAGCACTGCAGGCTTATGTTCAGGCAGTCCTGTCTCACTCAGGGCCTAGCTGCTATTTTGGGACTGCTGTGGACCAGGGGAAACTGACTGTTTAATTAAAGCATTACAAAGGTCTGTGGCGGGTGTTGATGCAATGTGATTTCATCCCAGTGTCCAGAATGTCAAAGTGAAGAAGTCTAATGAAGTGCAGTACATGGTGGGAGTGACTTAGGATTTTCTTAAGAAGAGATTGTGGTTGCCAGTGGGGTGCAGCTGCAGAGGTTGCAGCTCCCTGTGGTCCCACCTGATGCCCTTAAGTGTAATCCAACTGGCCTGTTGGTGTGTCTTGTTCAGCATGGTGTCCAGCTGTAGGCTCTGTGGCTCTGAACCCCAGGGGCATCTTGGGGTAGAGGTGACCACCACTGGGGTTGCCCAGGTGCTCCTTTTCTGCCAGCAGAGTTTTCCAGACGCTCTTCAAGCCTGTAGTGTTTCATGCAGTTGTTG